TGGCTGGCTACCAGTCGCTCGAGATTGTTGCAGTTGGATCCCTCAGCGCTCTTCTTCTCTCTAGCAGATCTTTGGTAGCTTTCGAAATTGGTTTCAAGTTTCTTGTTCGAGGCGTTAAGGCGCTTCCACCACAAGCTCTTAGTCCTCTAAGAAGCGCCGTAGTCTTTTGTCGGGTTCTTCTCCATGGACCAGTTATCTGTCGCCGTCATATACAACTTCTCTCCTTCCTTCAACACAGAAGCAGATCTCCTTTTCCAACTTTCGGCTGAATCGCACTTTTGCTCAAAGGAGGCGGTGATCTGAGCCACTACTGAAGGACGGTACCACTGAGACGTCTAGTAAGCACCACCTTCGGTTTGTGAGAATGTGGTTGATCCCGCATGAGTCGTACCGTTGTTGACTCCCATGTCCACCACCGGTGTTCTTTTTTCGAGAAGATGGATTGCCATGAAAAAGTTGTGCGGCGAATAACAGCCCTAGACGGTTGCCATTTTCATTCCGGAGTTCCGATCCAAATCTCCCGTTCCTGTTCTCCCCCTTTTCTGGCATCCTGATTTTCGCATTGAAGTCACCCACGACGAACTCAAAGGAGTTTTCTTTGCGGATGAGTTCCTCCAAATCCTCTTAAAAAGCATCAATTTCTCATCAGCTGCTGCTGTAGCGTTGACGAAAGTGATGGTTTTGTGATGCAGAGGACTAAGTCGAAGAATAATGAGGCGAGGTAATAAGATCTCATGCGAATCGACAAGAGGGACAGCAGATGGGTGTACGATAAATCCAACGCCCCAACGTTCCATGATGGAACTTTCCCTCCAAGAATGGTGAGTGTGTCATCAGTCAGCTGCCTCACGTCCGTCTTCCTGGACTTTGTTTCCTGCAAGGTGATTACGTGGTAGTTTGCGCCCTGCAACTTCGAAAAGGGCTTGAAGATCGGCGTTGGTGGAGACTGTCCTAGCGTTGTAATGCAGAGCATGAAACAATCTCCATGACGAGTCGTTGACGTGTCCTTTTGGTCTGAATCCATGGCCTGTGCAACCTGACACTGGTCTTAATGACATCCAAGAAGATGTGTTCCAGTGTGTAGGACTTCGTTTTCCTTTACATGATATGGGCACTAAAAAACCTTCCCCAAACATTGCCTTGTCAAGGTCTGCCAACCTTTTACCATAGACATTCCTGACCTTATGGGGATCAGGGAACCGCCTAGCTACTAAATCAGCCAGACAGTGATGCTTCTGGCATGGCTTACTCTTAGCTGGGCATCCAGGGGGCCGGAAATATCGAACTCCTTCTCAGCTTGGGAGACCCTGCTGAAAGATAAACTTCCGCTGTACCAAAATTCCACCCAGAGTCACCCCTGCGACACGATGAGGCGCTAGACCATCGCGGGACTATATATATA